GGAGTCGGTGGTGCTGGATTCGGAATCGGGGGATGGACAAGCTTGCGTTGGGTGTGACAAAAGGTGGCACAAAGGGACCGTCTCACCCCACGGGAACTGAGAGGGGGACTTGCCCACGGTCACGGTGTGGCACTGCAGAGCCCCGTGATGTCTTGGTGGAATAAAACATGTTCAAGGAGCAATGTGCATCGCATGGGACAAATCCCAGTGATTTCCCGTCTGATGTTGCCAGCCCCCCTGGAGCTGAGCACTGACCCCTCCTGCTTGTCCTTGTCCCCTGGCAGCTGCCTGCAAAGAGAGCAAGCGTCCCCTGGAGGTGTCGCAGCACTCGGAGGAGATGGGCCTGATCCTGGGGATCTGTGCTGGGGGGCTCATCGTCCTGATTATCCTCCTGGGAGCCATCATCGTCATCATTCGGAAAGGGTAAGGAGATCCGGTGTGGTGGCTGGTGCCTCCATCCGTCCCCTCCTCCCAGCTCAGCCCTTCTCCACCACCCCGGCACTAACTGGGAGTTACTGGTGGTGACACTGCCGTGCTGGGCAGACTCCAAACCCTTGAGCTGTGCCTCCATGCGCTCGTGCATGTGCTCCTCCATGCACAGTGCCCTCCTTGCTCTGTGACACTGGGCATGGAGGAGGCACTGGGGACCAAGGAGCAAAATCCTGGGAACGTCCCTTTGCCCTCGGGGCTCTGCAGCTTGGTTCCACTGTCCCTCTCCCCTGTATTTTTCAGTCTTTTGCCTCTTTTTCTGCTGCTTCTTGGCTTTGTGCTGCTCTATCGATTCTGCATCGATGGAAATGCTTCTGGCCAGGATCGGGCTTGGCGGCGCCCTGGGCCGGCACTGAGCCCGGCTGTCCCTGTCCCACCAGCTCTCCCCTTGCTAACAGCAGCCGGGGGGTCCCGGGGTGTGCAGCCTTGCACCCCTCCAGCCGAAAAGTACAAAAATCAGCTTAATCTGCACTGAGATATTGTCTCTGGGCTTCCCCGCTGCCTTGGCCAGGCCAGGGCTGGATCCGTCCATGTGAGCGTTGCTGTCTGGGGTCTGATACCCTGCCCTCGGGGTGGATTAGAGATGGGGCCGTGTACAGTTCCCTTGCATCGAGCTGGCGTTCCCAGAGATGGGGAGGAAGGGAAAGCATATTCACTATCGGCCCTCCGCTGAGCCCCCCCGAGATGGCAGGCGAGCGCCCAGTGCCTCCCAGCACCGGGGGGAGCAGAGCCCTGGCGGTGCTCGGTTCTGGGGTGATGGCTGGAAAAAGCCTCCGTCCACAGCTTTTGCCTGGAAAGCGGTGCGGTGTGTCCCGCTGAAATACCTGGTCAGACTCTGGCTCTCGTCCTGGGCTCTGGTTCCTCGAGAGCGTTGGGAGGAGCAGCATCCCCCCTTCCTCCAGGGCTAGGCAGGGGGCTGCCCGCGGCTGCCCACCCCGGGGTGCGGGTGCTTGGACCATCCTGCATCCTCCTGGGCTTGTTTTAATGGGGAACCACTGAGCTTCCAGTGAAACATGAGCAATCTCTTGCTGAGAGCCTCCAGCTGGCTCTAAATGAGATGTTAAAATTTGGGTGCACGCTGGAGGGGAGGTTTTCCCAAGGGTGACAGTCCCTGGGGATCCCCAAACTGCTCTCCCACCCCCGTGGAGGGGTCCCTGCTCTCTGGGGAGCCAAGCACGGCTGTCATGGATGCGGCCGTGGCCATCACGGCAGGGTAGGAGGGAGGAGGGCGAGGGCTTTTCGGGACACTCATCCCCGGGAGCGCCGGGGATGCGGCCGCTGCTTTTTGCTTGGGCGCAGCGCCCTGGAAAGCAGCTTCTTACTGCACGGGGCTCGAGGCAGCGCCGAGCCAGGGGGGCTCTCAAAGCAGGGGAGAAAGGGCAGCAATTAAACGCCTTCCCCGTGCAGGGCTCGGGATGATGGGAGGAAAGTGTGTTAAGAGCCAGGGGGGAGAGAAAAATAGCAGGGCACAACCTCAGCCTGTGTAAATCTGCAGATCTCTTTGTGGCTTCGTTCTCCCTTAAAGGATTCTTGCTGATTTACGCCAGCTGGAAGAGCAAGGCTGTAGCATCCCTGCACACGGCGAGGGGTGCAGGACTGGCTTGTGGCTTCCTGCCCGCTGTTGCTCTGGGATGATGCTTGTGCGTACGGCATCAGATCTGTCCCTGATGGAGCAAGTGCCGACGGTGCCGATGTGTTTTCGGGAGTGACGCTGTTGGGATGGCGGGTAGGAAGCCATGAGTGCGGCTGCTGCGTTCCCATTGCCCGTGCTGCGGGGCGGGAGGAGGAGGAGCAGCTTTGCTTCAGCATCCCGGGGTGAACCTGTCAAAGGACAAACCAGAGCCACAAATCAGACCCAGTGCCGAGGGCCCCGAATTCGGGGCTGTCGGGAAGCTGGGACGAGCCCATAAATCTCCAGAGCGTTTTGCCGTTGGTAAAACACTGACGTGGTGGGATGGAAATACACCCCCAGAAAACGCTTGCCCCTAATAAATGGTGCACTGGAAACACGGCGTCCTGACCGCATCTCCTGCACTGGGGTTGCCTGGCCCCTAACCGGCTCCCCGGGGGATGCCCTGCTTTTTGGATACGTTTACTGTTCAGTCTTAAAAATTGTGGAATAACCGCTCGGACAAGGGTGCTACGGACACCCCACCGCCGGTGCAGGGACTGTGGTCACCCTGTGAGCTGGTGCTCGGGCTCTGCCATCAGGACGCTGGCTCCTGCCGGGAGTAAATAACCTACGGATGCAAAAGGGGAGCCAGGTTTCTTTACGGTGCATTTAATTTTCCGGCTGCTGAGTTGCCCTGTAACCCCCCTTCCCTTTGCCGGAGAAAAGCTGCTTGTGCAATTTCTGCTGTTCTCTCTGTTTGCATGCTTGCCAGGAGGAACTACTATTCTTATTCCTATTACCCGTAAGTAATTGTCATTCTTTCTCTCCTTTGCCCTTCCTCCCGGCCGCCCCCCTTGCCCTGCTGCTCCAACAAGTCCTTTTCTCTGCCGAGTACATTTTAAGTGCCTCTTTGTCTCGGGGAAAATAACGCTGCCGAGCTCGTTAGAGACAGAAGGCAGCGTAAAGGGGAAAAGTCAGCGACTCCAGGTTGAATTCTGGATTTTGGCAGCGTCTTGTGGTGTCCCGGCCCCACCAAGACGCTGATGTGGGCTCAGATCTCGTGTTCATCCTTCCCCGGGTGTAATCCCTGCTCTGGCTTCTTGGGAGCCTGATGCTGCCTCCCAAAAACACTCTATCAGTTTTTTTCTTAAATGTCTCGAATTTGGAGTGTAAGGTTCTGTCCCAGCGAGACCTCCTGGGCTTTCCCGGCATCTTTGTTAGGTGCCTAACAGGGACCTTGCATGGTGGGGAAAAGCCTCCCTGGCGGGTGCTGAGCATGTGTGCAGTCAGGGGTTCTAGCCTGTCCCTTGGGGGATGGATTTGGCCCCTGGCATGGGTTTAGAATCATACAACGGTTTGAGTTGGAAGGGACCTCTAAAGGTCATCTAGCCCAACCCCCCTGCCGTGGGCAGGGACATCTTCAACTAGATCAGGTTGCTCAGAGCCCCGTCCAGCCTGACCTGGAATGTTTCCAGGGATGGGGCATCCACCACCTCCCTGGGCAACCTGGGCCAGTGTTTCACCACCCTCAGCGTAAACAATTTCTTCCTTATATCTAGTCTGAAGCTCCCCTCTTTTAGTTTAAAACCATTCCCCCTTGTCCTATTGCTACAGGCCCTATTAAAGAGTCTGTCCCTGCCTTTCTTATAAGCCCCCTGTAAGTACTGACAGGCTGCAAGAAGGTCTCCCCGAAGCCGCCTCTTCTCCAGGCTGAACAACCCCAACTCTCTCAGCCTTTCTCCATAGCAGAGCTGTTCCATCCCCCTGAGCATTTTTGTGGCCCTCCTCTGGACCCGCTCCAACAGGTCCATGTCTTTCTTTTACTTCTTGCACTTGTACTGTGCAGCACGGTGCTGCACGTGGCGTGTTGGATGGTCCATGTTGCAGCAAGGTGGTGGGGGGCGATGGGTGAGTAATGCCTGGAGGAGAGCTGGGGCTGCCCTGTGCAACGCCAGCCGGCCGAGGAGAGCCTTCGCTTGCCCAAGGAGTGCTCCCGGCTGTTCCAGACGCGGGGCATTTTGGCGAGGGGACAGGTGGGGACATTGAGGATGAGCAGCTGGGGTTGCTGCAGCCGGCGAGGGATGATCCGTGTGGGGCTGCGACCGGCTTGGGGCACTGGAGAACCAAAGCGTGGCGACTGCTGGGGGAAATAATCCATCCTGCTCCCCAAAATAATCCGAGCCCAGTAGCTTTGGGGGGATCTTGCAGCACTGTCTCGTCAGCCTTGCTTACATGTCCGTCTTCCCCCTCCTCACCTTTGCATCCCCCTGCAGAAAACCCGTCAACATGACCAAAGCGACCATTAACTACCGCCACGAGAAGACACACATGATGAGTGCCATCGACAGGAGCTTCACCGACCAGAGCACGCTGCAGGAGGACGAGCGCCTGGGGCTCTCCTTCATGGACACCCACAACTATGGCAACCGAGGTAAGGACAGGGAACCGCAGCATCCCCCCCATTCCCATCCAGCTGCAACAAGGGTCCCTGATAATCCCTAAATATCCCAGAAACAGCTGCAATATTTATTCAAGGCTCGGTAGCGAGTATTGCATCTATTTTAGCCTGATGCGTGTGGCACGTTGCAGGCTTTCCCATGCCCTGCAGGGAGACCTCCAAGGGCATCGATTTTATCGGTGTCTGTAGTAGCTTTTATCATCCAGATTTTGCTGAAGGAAAAACACTCGTGGGCGGCTCGAGCTGGGTCTCTGCATCTCAATCTCTGGAAGTGGAAATCTGAGCTTGTGGCTGGGAGGCTTGAGGCCATTTGTGGGCTCAAACGCTGGCTGCAGCCCCCTGAAGCTGGGTGAACCCCAACTCTGCCGTACGCTGCGGTTGAAAGCTTTGCACCAGCCGTCACTCAGTACACCCAGCGTGGCTTTGCTCCACGGTGTTCTGCGCGGCCCTGGGCTTCGAAGGGTTAAAGAGCCACCGCGTTTACATCAGAGGGAGACTGATAATTTAACACCCACTGGAGTATGCATCTCCGTGCTGATTTAGTTGTAAAATAACTCGTTGGATGCCCCAGTTTCAACCATATGCTAATAACATCTGTTACAGTAACTTCCAAGATGCTGCTTACCCACAGCTCTTCTCCACCAGCTGCGGGAATAATATGCTTCCCGGCATTGTCTCGTGGATAATAGAAGCCCAGAGGGCAAACTTTTCCTCCTCTTAATACATCTAGTTAGGTGTATTATTTTTTGGTTACTGTCCTCGAAACGCTCAAAGGCTGGTGGGTCTCTGAGTGGGCTGAGCTGGGGCTGCTGGTCCTCGGTTCCTTCTGGGAAGGAAGGGGGCCAGATCCTGCTCCCACCTGCTTGCTTGCTCTGCTGCTGGCTGCTCCTCATCCCTCCGCTTGGTAGAGGGTAGAGGAGGAGATGTGGGGAGCTTGGGCTCTGTGCCACAGCTGGGGACAGCCTCTGCTGCAGCCACCCCCTGCCTATAAGCATCGTTCATTAACGAAGGTAAATGAATGGGCTGCTCTGTGACCCGCTGGGGGCTGTTCCCCACCATGCCTCGGTTTCCTTGCATTTAAAAAAAGTCACTAATACTCACGGAAACCCGAGTGGGTCCTCAGCGTGTGGCTGTGCAGAGCTGTCGGCACCTTGCAAACGCCTGCGATTCATTTCTCATTAAACCCAGCGGCCGGTGTGCCCGTCAGCCGTGCCACGGGGCGCAGCGTGGCCCTCCCGCGCTGTCCCGTCGGTTCAGCCACCCGTTGGCAGCCTGCAAGGGAGATGTTTCTGGTTGCAGAGTTTGGAGCATCGTCTCCTTGGGGCTGTGATGCCTGATGGAGACCCTGTTCTGTGCAAGTGCTGCACCCGTGTGGCACCCACACTGCACCCACGTTGCACGGGCAGCCGGGGGGTGCAGGCAGGGGGTGAGGGGCTGCTCCTTGCATTCGAGCAGACCAAAAAAAACAGGCCGGGGAGCTTTGCGAGCGAGCCGGCAAGGGCGGTTTTTAGACGTGTTGTTAGGGGAAACTGCATCCAGGATGCACCATCTTGCAAAGCTGCTTCCCAGCAGCATGTGGACGGCGTTCCAGGCCGGGTGCTGCAGGATCTGTGCCTGCCGTATCTCTTGGCAGCAGCGGAGAACATCAGGTTTTGTGCAGACCGAGATTTCAGGATCCGGTGTGGGACCTTGCCCTGACAAACGCAGGCGAGGTCTTAGTCTGGCTCTGCTGGTAATTACACGGCAAAGGCATAAACCAGGTAAATACTGCATAAACTCCCCCATTAAACAGCAGCGAGCTCCATTTGTGTCAGTGCTAGGAATAAGGTGGCGGTATCTAGCAGCGATGAAAATTAACTGTTAAGCTGGGCTGGAGACTTCGGCAACGCGATTTTTCAAGTCAGGACTCTCTGTGAGTATTCGGGCACGTAGCTCTTACTCGTCTGGATGGGAGTTAATTGCTCGAATCGATGGGAAATAAGCTTATTAACCCCCTTAAGGTCTTGCCCACTGATTTCTAAGAGATCTGCTGTGGTCCTAAAAGGCTGTAATGGGCATTTTTGGCTTTGTGGTGTAGGAAGAGCTGCAGAGAGCACGGGGCAGGTCTGGACCACTTGTGGCCCCCAGAGAGAGACCGGCTGCAGCACCAGCATCTCCTGGGAATATTTCCAGGTGCCCTCTTGTCCCTCCTCTGTGGGTGCGAGTAGGTCATGGGGATGCGGTCCCAGGCTTTTCTCCCCTCCTCTGTGGGTGCGAGTAGGTCATGGGAATGCGGTCCCAGGCTTTTCTCCCCTGATGGCCCTCCGGTTCTCCCTCCCCTTCTGCAGGCGACCAGCGCAGCAGCGTGGTCAATGAGTCCAGCAGCTTGCTGGGGGGCTCCCCCCGCCGCCAGTGCGGCCGCAAAGGGTCCCCGTATCACACCGGGCAGCTCCATCCTGCCGTGCGGGTGGCGGATCTCCTCCAGCATATCAACCAGATGAAGACGGCAGAAGGCTACGGCTTCAAGCAGGAGTATGAGGTGAGAGCATCTTGTGTTGGCGTCTCGGGGAGGGTGGGAGGGTAGGATGGACAAGGTGGCACAGGCAGGACCTGTGTGCAAGGAGAAGGTGCTCCAGACCTGGAGCTGCAGTGCTCTGGACAGCAGGAGCTGGAGCTCACAGCTCTCTGGACAGGCATCATCAGCACGTGGGGTGTCCCTGGGTCTGGATCAAATCTCTGGTCCTGGCAGCTCAGGATTTAATTGTCGGCTTGAACAGGTCCCTGAGATGAGCCAAATCAGCTCTGCCAGCCAGCCTGCACCTCTCCTGTCTGCAGTGCGTCATCCCGCCTCTCCTGCAAGGGCTGGGGATGCTTCTCCCTTTCTCAGGTCTTCCTGGGCACCGTGATGTCATGTTCTTCTGCTCTCCAACGCACTTGTCCTGTGATAAGCATGGCCATAGCCTGAGGAGAAGCAAATCCTCTACAAACTGGCAGCTCCCAAGACTGTGAAGACCCCAGGGACAGGACACGAGAGAGGGTGATCCCAGAGGGAGGGAAGTCCCTCCCAAGGGTCGTTGGCCGCATCGTGCCCATCCCAGCTCGTTGGGCCGGAGCGCTTGTAATGGAGTGCATTATTCCGCGTGCCTCTGCTGCAGCGTGCCCAGTGGGGTTGATTTCCCAACTCCTCGGTGTCCCACAGGTCTGGCGATTGAAATTTCCCAGTGAAATTACTGTTTAATGCTTAGTTGTTTCAAGTGCAGGAGGTTTTTTTCCCCCCCTTTTTCATGTATTGGACAAACCAGGGCTTGCTATAATCATTAGTACTCCTTGAAAAGCTGCTGTATGTTCTTGGAACTAGTCATTTGAAAGCACTCAGATATTATGGGAGGGGAGAAAACATGTAATTTCCTTCCACTTTCCTCCTCTTATGCCAATCTATGAATGTTACTGTTATTACACACAAACCTATTCTGTGCTGGGGAGGTTTAGGAAAAAAACATAACCAGTCCTAGAAAAAAAACAGGCAGTATATAATTCGCTGGAAAATGGGGCATTTTGTGGATGCAACATAAGCGTGTAGCTGGCAGAGCGTGCTATGGAGATGGAGCCGGGGCTGCGGGACCTGGCTGCTGGGGTGGAGGGACCACCCTGTCTGCCCTGCTTCCCGGGAAGGTTGTGGGGCTGGGGGGGACACCCCACAGTCCTGCCCTCGGGTCGTGACAGCCATCCCTTCCTTACAGAGTTTTTTTGAAGGCTGGGATGCTTCGAAGAAGAAAGACAAGACCAAAGGGAGACAGGATCACGTGTCGACATGTGAGTCCCTTTAGCAAAGGCTTAGACACCCTGAACAGCTTGAAAAACCTTCTGAAGGGCTTTGGGGGCTTTTTTTGGTGCGGTCCGTGGCAAGGAATAAACTGGTGGGGTTTGGTTGGTCAAGGGCAGCAGAAAGGTCCTTGCTCAGTGCAGCGTTCCCAGCCTGAGAGCTCCTGTTGGGCCGGCGCAAATAGGAGGGCTGGATCTGGGCTGGAGCTGGATAACTCTTGAGGATGGGACATCTTGGGGTGATGATAACATCACCATGATATTCCGGGTGGTGCTGGAAGGCCCCGGGTAACCGGGGGTGTGTTTTCTTGTATGGACTTACGAGAAACTGCAGCCCTGCCCCAGGGAGCTTCTGATGTGGATGTGCAGGGTGAGACAAAGAGGTTAAAGGATGAGTTTTTAGGACAGGAGATAAGGGAAGGGCTTGACCCCATAGGAGAGGGGATGCTCGTCACCAGTTCCCTCCACAGTCAGCGTGGCATGGCCACCTTGCTCCATGCTGCATCTCTGGTGACGTTCCTGCAGGGATGGAGGCACCAAGCCTGGCCCTCCAGGAACTCTGGTGCTCTCCACCTCCCGCATGCTTTGCTCCGCAGCTTCATCCCTTCCACTCCAGCATTGTCCGGGGCCCCAGGTGGACACCGAAGGCTGGGCAGAGCTCTCTGCTCATCTTTCTGGGCTCTGGCCATCCTGGTGCCTTGCTGGGGCGGAAGGCAAGGTGCTGGAGGGTCTGTCTCCTCTGTCTTTGGCAAGACTGGGCAGAGCTCAGGGAGGTACCGTGCTGAAAACCACTCCCCCATGTCCCTGCTGGTCTAAGCCACCATCTTTGGAAAGACCTCCACCAGCTTGTATTTATTACTCCTGAATGCAACCCACCTGCCTGCGTTTTGCAAATTCCCAGTGCAAAACGATTGCAAAGGGTGCCCTGGGACCCGGCGGGGTGACGAGCCGTCCCCGTGCTCATCCCCCCCGGGTGCTGATGGTCCCTTCTCCCCTTGCTCTCCAGACGACCGTCACCGAGTGAAGCTGCACCCACTGCTGGGCGATCCCAACTCAGACTACATCAACGCCAACTACATCGATGTAAGTGGGGACGGTGCCTCTCTCCGTGTGGGGTCTGGGCTGGGACAGGAGCTTCCTGTGGACCCCGTGGACTGTCGGGGTCTGTCCAGCAGCGTTTGGAGGAGCTTAGACAGCCTTGGACGGGCTGATCTGTGCACCCCTGAGACACACCATGAAGAGCCTGCCTGATTTATTTATGTTCATCAGCAATTTCTGCTTGCTGTGTCTCTCCCTTCTCTGCTCTGCTCTGTCCCTCCTTTTTCATTCCCTCTCTCCTCCCCTTTTCCATCCTCTCTTCTCCCCTCGCCTGCTCTCGTGGCCATGGATCTCCCTCCTCCCTGGGCGGAGGATGAAGAGGTTTAGTGGGCCAAGGGACCGGCTGGGGGCTCACACTGGGATACCCCCCTGTGGTGGGTTGACCCTGGCTGGATGCCGGGTGCTCAACAAGCCGCTCTATCAGCTCTCAACAAGCCGGGTGCTCAACAAGCTGCTCCCTCCTCAGCTGGAGGGGGGAGAGAAAATACAACGAAAGGCTCGTGGGTCGAGATAAGGACAGGGAGAGATCACTCAGCAATTACCGTCACGGGCAAAACAGGCTCAACTTGGGGAAATTAGTTTAATTCATTACCAATCAAATCAGAGTAGGGCAATGAGAAATAAAACCTAAATCTTAAAACACCTTCCCCCCACCCCTCCCTTCTTCCCGGGCTCAGCTTCACTCCCCATTTTCTCTACCTCCTCCCCCCAGTGGTGCAGGGGGACGGGGAATGGGGGTTGGGGTCAGTCCGCAACACGCTGTCTCTGCCGCTCCTTCCTCTGCAGGTGGAAGACTC